GTTTAGTGGTAAATTTTTCCTTTATAAAGGAAATTGTTGCTGACATTTTCAAGTAAAGTAATACATCGACTCAAGTCTTAGAGACGTCTTGTGATACGATTTTAGACAGTTTGTCTGGATAAAATTTACAATTATGAAAAAAGGAAATGAATTGGACTTTCCAAATCTCCAAGCGAAAATATGATGCGTGCGCGTACTTCGTCTCCTGTTTAGTTCGTCAAACGAATTACGTAATAGTTGTATCGTATCACGAATGCTGACGCAAAATGATCGCGAGATTCTGCGGAGGTAAATCCCTCGTCTTCTTGTGATTCACTCACTGCGTTGTAATTATTGCAACGCGTTCAGCTCGGTGACGCGGACTTAGAGCAATCATTTTTTCGCGCGGTTGAGGGGAAACAATCGCCATCGGCGACGGGGTATAACGAGCGGCGCGTGGCGGTGACGCGTGGCTACAAATGCGCGCTCAAACATCGCGGCTCGGCGAAAATAAGTCCTGCCTAATTGAGGCGGCCGTTCCATTATAGAGATTAGACTGGATTAGACTTCAAACGAGGTTTGCATTGTATGCATATATGTATATATGTATATATATATATATGTATATATAAAGTTAACTTACCCAGCTCTGTATATATATATTTTTTTTTTTTAACTAAGTTAAGTTAAAGTTAACCTAGAAAATTTAACTTAGTTAAGATACAAGTTAATTTATAATGAAATTAATTAAATTAAAAATTAAGTTAATAAAAAAAGTAATTGAAAAGTTAAAAGTTAAATTTGTTTTTTTATATTTTTTAAATTCATGAGAGAGAGAGATTCCAGGGTTCCAGTCTTACAAATAACGGAAATGACAAATATATACTTCTAACTAGTATAAATATATATTATTTAAAAAATACTCTATATTTTATGTACATGTTTTGTTTATACATACTGTAGTATATAAGATTCGACTATCAGAAACTAGGTACAGCGAAATACACGGTTTTTGACAGATTAAAATTCTGGAGGTCGATTGTATAATTTGAAATGAGGTGAAAATTACAAAAGTGAGCAAATTCATTAGAATATTTATAATTTTATTGGTCAACACCTAGTAAAATTGCTCACTTTTGCAATTTTCACCTCATTTTAAGTTATCGCTATTGCCGCGTATTATGTCTGAGACTTA